GCTCGGCCTCAGCGACTCCTCCGATAGCAAGAACACAGACGACGAAGTGAACGACTACCTGGCCCGTGCCATTGACGCTCGCTCCATCGACCGCCTCAGAAGCGAGCACTGCAAGAGGTTCCTTCTCTCGTTCCGCAAGTCTGATGTCGAGGAAAAGGTGAGGGTTGGCGAGTCTGTCTGTCTCTCGGTTTGTCTTTTGGTCTGTCTGTCTTCTGTCTCTCGGTTTGTCTTTTGGTCTGTCTGTCTCTCGGTTTGTCTTTTGGTCTGTCTGTCTGTCTCTCGGTTTGTCTTTTGGTGTGTCTGTCTCTCGGTTTGTCTTTTGGTCTGTCTGTCTGTCTCTCGGTTTGTCTTTTGGTCGGTCTGTCTCTCGGTTTGTCCTTTGGTCTGTCTGTCTGTCTGTCTCTCAGTTTGTCTTTTGGTCTGTCTGTCTGTCTCTCGGTTTGTCTTTTGGTCTGTCTGTCTCTCGGTTTGTCTTTTGGTCTGTCTGTCTGTCTCTCGGTTTGTCTTTTGGTCTGTCTGTCTGTCTCTCGGTTTGTCTTTTGGTCTGTCTGTCTCTCGGTTTGTCTTTTGGTCTGCCTGTCTCTCGGTTTGAATTTTGGTCTGTCTGTCTGTCTCTCGGTTTGTCTTTTGGTCTGTCTGTCTCTCGGTTTGTCTTTTGGTCTGTCTGTCTCTCGGTTTGTCTTTTGGTCTGTCTGTCTCTCGGTTTGTCTTTTGGTCTGTCTGTCTCTCGGTTTGTCTTTTGGTCTGTCTGTCTCTCGGTTTGTCTTTTGGTCGGTCTGTCTGTCTCTCGGTTTGTCTTTTGGTCTGTGTGTCTCTTGGTTTGTCTTTTGGTCTGTCTGTCTCTCGGTTTGTCTTTTGGTCTGCCTGTCTCTCGGTTTGAATTTTGGTCTGTCTGTCTGTCTCTCGGTTTGTCTTTTGGTCTGTCTGTCTGTCTCTCGGTTTGTCTTTTGGTCTGTCTGTCTCTCGGTTTGTCTTTTGGTCTGTCTGTCTCTCGGTTTGTCTTTTGGTCTGTCTGTCTCTCGGTTTGTCTTTTGGTCGGTCTGTCTGTCTCTCGGTTTGTCTTTTGGTCTGTCTGTCTCTCGGTTTGTCTTTTGGTCTGTCTGTCTGTCTCTTGGTTTGTCTTTTGGTCTGTGTGTCTCTTGGTTTGTCTTTTGGTCTGTCTGTCTCTTGGTTTGTCTTTTGGTCTGTGTGTCTCTCGGTTTGTCTTTTGGTCTGTCTATCTCTTGATTTGTCTTTTGGTCTGTCTGTCTCTCGGTTTGTCTTTTGGTCTGTGTGTCTCTTGGTTTGTCTTTTGGTCTGTCTGTCTCTCGGTTTGTCTTTTGGTCTGTCTGTCTGTCTCTTGGTTTGTCTTTTGGTCTGTGTGTCTCTCGGTTTGTCTTTTGGACTGTCTGTCTCTTGGTTTGTCTTTTTGTCTGTCTGTCTCTTGGTTTGTCTGTCTCGATTTGTCAGTTTGTCTCTGTCCCTGTCTTTCTCTGTGTCTGTCTCTGACTCTATCTTTGTTTGACTCTCTTTATCTCTCTTTCTCTCTCTCTTTCTCTCTCTCTTCCTCTCTCTCTCTATCTCCCTTTCTCTCTATATATTTCTATCTGTCTCTCTCTCTCTCTCTGTCTCTGTCTCTCTCTCTCTCTCTCTCTCTCTCTCTCTCTCTCTCTCTCTCTCTCTCTCTCTCTCTCTCTCTCTCTCTCTCTCTCTCTCCCCCTCTCTCTCTCTCTCTTCCTCTCTCTCTCTCTCTCCCTCTCCCTCCCTCTCTCTCTCCCTCCATCTCTCTCTCTCTCTCTCTCTCCCTCTCCTCCCCCCCTCTCTTCTCTCTCTCTCTCTCTCTCTCTCTCTCTCTCTCTCTCTCTCTCTCTCTCTCTCTCTCTCTCTCTCTCTCTCTCTCTCTCTCTCTCTATCTCTCTCTCTCTATCTCTCTCTCTCAAGTAAGCTAGCTACCTCCCAGCACTGGATATATAAGAAATACATTAATAATCTGCCACATATCTCTCCCCTCCCCCCCTCCAGCCCCCTACAACATCCCTCATCCCACAGGTAAAATATTTAATAATCTGCTACTTAATAATCTCTCTCTCTCTCTCTCTCTCTCTCTCTCTTCCCAGTATTCCAAGGAGAGGGACAAGATGCTGCCGAGTTACTTCATCATCTCGTGGTTCACTATCATTTGCATATTTGCGGTCCAGATCATCATCATCCCAAGGTAACGATGTCGTGTGTGCTTATGAGAATAGTCGGAACTTTGAAGGCCTGTGTGTACTTCTCTCTCTCTCGTGTGTTATAATGATGTTACGTGTGTACCTGTGAGCGTACCTGTGGTGTAGGTTTATTTGAGTTTGCATTCAGGTCATTTAGTGTTACACAGGAGTAGAATTTAGAATATATGGACAGTTCACTTTCGTTTGCTTTTTTTTATTCATTCGTGCGGTCTATAGGAAGGATTTAATTAACTTTCCTTCTGTGTGTGTGTGTGTGTGTGTTTGAGTGTTTGTTTGTTTATGTGTGTGTG